AGTGACATTTTTGAAAATGGACACTCTTAAATGACATTTTTACAAATGTGCAAATAAAAAGTGGTATTTTTGTAATTCTGGCTGAATATAAACACTCGAGTCACTCGTTTCAAAAGAAAGAATAATCTAATGATTTGCCTTCCAACTACGGAAATTAAGTTTCTAACTTACTGTAACACGTGAGATCGTCACTATCTCACGCATTCACAAAAGTTTATTTATGAAATACACGAAAGGAATTATGACGATTGATTGCATTGGAAGATGTATATAGTCCATGAAATCAAATTTGTGATAGTCAAGTGATGCTCTAAAAAATACTATGTTTTTATGTTAGACGAAACCATTAATCAAACGTTATTATATATAAAAAAGTGATTTATATATATTGCGAGATAAACAGCATGTATACCACGAAATTTATTTTTCATGATAAAAAAATTCTTCGCTATATTAAATCGTGTGTGTGCCAACCCCAAAATATTGTTTATTTATTTGTTCTTTTGAGCTTTGACGTGCAAGTAAATCCATAGATGTTGTTTTCAAAGTTATGGGTTAGGGAAACAAACATTCGAGATGAGATATGGTAGAAACAGAGAACAAAAAAAATTCGAGAAAACACAAATTATTTCTCATATTTTAAGCATAAAAATGGAAAAGTTTTACATTTAGAACAACAACATACAATTATAGTATTATACAATACGTAATATTAATAGTAAATAAAAATAAAAATATGTAAAATGAGATAAATATGTAAATAATGTTTTCCCAACTTTTCATGGTTTTTTAATTATATATGTGGACACTAAAATTTGGTAAGCTTCATTAAGACCATCTCAAACCCATATTTATTTCCATCTCTAAAATAGAGTTTAGAGTCAAATTTAGTCTAATCCATCTCTATTTTCATCTCTATAATAGAAATTGCTATTTTTTCTCTATATTTGAAGATGAAAATATAATTTTTTTTTTGTCATATCTTAAAAGACAAGAAAAAATAGTATTTTTCTAAACTAGAGTTATACATTTAAGAGAAAATAGAAAAAAAAAATGCTATTTTTACTCTATTTTAGAGATAATTATAAAAAAATACATTAGAGATGGCTATTTAATTTGCTAACCTTTGAAACTAACTTAAGGTCTTTTTGGCTGTAGCTTTCTTTTATCAAGTGCCAACTTCGAGGTTATATTCTCTTTTCAAATTATATTTTGGCATGATTCAAGGACTCTTTTGGATCCTTTAATTGATATTTTTGGCATCGCAAATTTGGCAGTGCATAGATAAGGTTTCTGTGAGTTTTTGATAGAATTTGGCAATATTTTGTCAAATTTAGAGACTAGTCTATTCACCCTACTCTGTCTAAATTTATCTCTCTACAATTTTAGAGGGGATGATATCAGTGCAATATTTCTAAAAACATTATATAAGAGTTAAACTATCTTATATAGCAACAAACTTTTTAATAAATTAAATACCAAATTATCATCACAAAAATGTGATATCATATACTCCAAAATAATTTAATTAATAAAAAAATTGACCGCAAAATACTATTGGTCACACAATAGTCAATAAAGTTAAAAAATACCTAAGATTATCAAAACAACTTATATTTTAAAACATAAAAAAACTTCCAAAACAACTTATATTTTGAAACGGAAATAGTACTACTATTTCTTAAAAATTATATATTTTGAATATACGTTAGGGAGAGTGACAAGTAGAAGAATGTTAATTTTTGTTTTTTGTTGGTAAAATATATTTTAAGAATAAGATAAATTTTATTTGTCAATGAGGGCAAAATTAGTAAGATCCAAAACTACAAATCCCATTTCGTTATTATCATCAATGAATGGAAGATTTATGAAAATTTGAAGACTCATTCTTGGCAACCAAACATCACATTAATCCCATTT